CCTATTTCTACCTCCTGACAGGGTGAGGCGTAAAACCTACAAGTATGCCCTGACAGTCGTCGACGTTGCCAGTCGCTACAAGGAAGCCGAACCATTGATGACCAAAGATTCGAGCGAAGTCGCCAAAGCCTTAGAATGCTTTTACAAATGCAGTCGCTTGAACTGGCCTGCTGTATTGCAAATCGATCCCGGACGCGAGGTCGTGGGAGCCATGTCACAACAGCTGGCCAAGCACAAAGTCCAGGTGAAACGAGGTGTGGTGGGAGCTCACCGAACCCAAGCCATAGTCGAGAGATTCAATCTCACCTTAGCCGAATGCCTGTTCTCACATCAGTACTCGAAGGATTTAATTGATCCCAAAAACAGAAACACGGAATGGGTTGTACACTTACCGCGAGTGGTGGATGTCATCAACAACGAAGTCACCATACACGTGGGCAAGAGACCCGTCAAAGCCATCAAAATGAAATTTGTCGAATTGTCGTCGGCAGCGTCACGTCGCTATTAATCAGAAAAAAAACATTACCGGACCAGGTCAGCATTAGGTACTTGTACCAGCTGGGAGAATACGAAGGAGACAGCAGAAAACGTGCCACCGATCCGATATGGTCCATGAAAACGTACAACGTGGACCTTGTCGACATCAAAGACGGCGAATCGAACTTGTACTACTTGAAAGACGGACCGCCAAGTCCATTCGTCAGAGAGGAGTTGATGATCGCGTACCTCACGACACCGTCCCTTACACATCACCCACTGTGTGATGATAGTTTCTCGTCATGATTTTTAATCAGTCTTGCATGCCTATTTTTATGCTTAATGTAGCCAGCCAGCCAGCCACCAGTACACCAAGCCGAGAGAGACACACGCACACGCACTGCGACTCGTCTGCCCACAGCGCTCGGAGGAGCAACCACCCCCGAGGCGACTCGAGCTCACTTAAAAGTCAATATTTCAGAAACTGGTCCTGTACCCCCATTGTGTATACTACTCGGTATCTAGTGTGACCACCACGAGCGGCAATAACTAAAGCACAGCGTCCATGCATGGAGTGCACCAATCGATTGATGAAGGCACCTGGAACCACACTCTGAAAAAGGCCTGGGGCAATAAATTGGCTGTGTTCGGCCTTGGTATCACATTATTCAGTCTCATCTGAATTTCATCCCAAAGATGATCAATTGGGTTTAAATCAGGACTAAAGGCTTGGCACTGCATAATATTGACACCGTTCTACTATAGCAAGTCCCATGTAGCTCTGGCGGTATGGGCCCGGGCGTTATCATGCTGGAAAACGTTGTTCCGGTGACGTGCGAAATGTGTTATGACGTGGGGTCGATGTAGCACACCGCTGTGATGACACATCCTCCATGTGGACCAAGGTTCTGGAACACCACAGGACCCAGTCTCTGGTTCAGGACCCCGTTCCTCAAAGCGATTGTAACACTACAATAGTTGTAAATCACTACAATCCAGTTGTAACTTTAACTTACAATCACACCACCGTTCCTCAAAGCAATTGTAAATTACAATAGTTGTAAGTTACAATCACTTCCGTAAGTTGCTTATGACCGTCTGTAACTTACTTACGATCGATTGTTGTGTATGAACAAGATGGCGGCGTTTGCTGTAATTCATAAACAGAGGACACAGAAATTTGGCCTTGAGAGGATATTTCGAGACCGTAGTCATGTTCTTGATGTTTACAATGACGCTGTAATATTTTCAAGGTACAGAATGACGAGGGCTTCCATTCTTAAACTGGTAAGCATGCTAGAACCTAGGTTGTCCTCGAACACCCAGCGTTTACATGCAATCTCGGTAGAAAACAAGGTTTTGATTACTTTGCGATATCTTGCGAAGGGCGGATTTTTCTCCGAGCTTGGAGATATCCATGGCACCGCAAAGTCAAGTGTATGCAGGGTGATTCACCCAACGATCAGAGGAATAATTGACGTATTGAACAATATACATTTTCCTACTGTCGAATCAGCACCTCATACCATGTTGGGCTTGTATGAGATCAGTGGCTTTCAAAAGTGTTAGGATGTGTTGATGGAACTCTCATACCGATCAAGCGTCCCCCAATCGATGTCGAGCAAGCGTACGTTTGCAGGAAGGGCTACAATGCCATCAACGTACAGGGATCTGTGACCACACACTAAGGCGAGTATTGTTTACAGTTACAAATGTATACGTAAACAAAGCAAATTCGTCAAGTACTCTGATTTATTTCTGATAATGTCACCTTGAAAAAACCTACACTACAAACATCTTCCGCTGTTGTGGTGTGAGGAGTTTAGTGGATGAGAAGATAACTCTAAATATATTTCCTGTCTGTGATGACAAAACTTTAAATAAATAAGCGTTCATAAAATATTAATTGTCTTAGTAATTAAAGGAATATTTATGGAAACAAATAATTGTGAAATATTCTTATGTAGCAGTGCATTTTTATTCTTTTGAAGGATATATTTTCAATTTGCTATCATCATATTTTTTTAATTTTATTAGTAAAATACTTTGTAATAATAATACGTGTATGCACCGTGTATTAATAAATTGTATGGTAATAAATTTCCAACAAGAAAAAATTGCCTGCCTTTCAGCACAGACAAGACAGATAGATTTCACATTCGTTTACATCTGTTACAAACAGTGATTTACACATAATGACATAATTGAATTTGTTTTAACTTGCAGATTCAGCAATGCAGTTGCAAAATGGCCAGGCTCAAGCCATGACTCCTCTATATTGAACAACAGTCAAGTTGCAGAGCTCCTTGACACTGGGAACCTGCCAGGGGTATAGCTCGGAGACTCGGGGTTAGTATCATTTACCTCAAACAAAAGATACTGTGATACTATTTACAGAATCTTCTATCTGACTAACCCCCAAAATGAGAGTAACCAATAAAGTTGGATAAAACTTACATATTTCACAATATATTAAATCATTAAAGGAAATACTGAAATAGTTGAATAATTTTTGTATATTGTTGGTAGATTTGCTACTAAATGACTTGTGATTACATGTAAAAAAAAGTATATTGTTCCACAGTTACGGATGTAAGCAATGGCTAACTTGACCATGCCATTGACATCTTTGGAGTATTAACTGTTTAGAAAAGATAAAACATCAACTGTGTGTTTGGCCAATTTGTTATTGTTATTGAGTATTTGAATAACAGTTAATTAATGGACTCGGCAATCGGCCAACTCATAATGTTTATCGATTTAGTAACATAACTATTTTATAACAATATTTCTGTCATGTTACAAGTTTGTTAAATCAATATAGAAAGATAATCAGATTCGATTATCTTCCAACAATGAATGAATAACTTGAAAGGACCACACAAAAAGGAATGTCTTGGATATTGTTATATTCTCAAGAAACAAGGTAACATAAATCAACATTTTGACATATAATTTATAAGAAATGGTAACATATGTAAATGACCTTATTGATCTGATGAAAAAGGGTAAATGACTCCAGTTAAAGGCCATGGTAAGTGTTGCCATTAGGCTGGTAAGAAATATATTGAATCTGTATGGTAAAAGGATACTTATATTGTTCCTATTCAATTCATGGATCTGCATACAGCATTGTATATTCAACAGGTGTTTACACAAAACGACTGGTTGCCTGCCATTCAGCACTGACAAGTGTTGTAAAGTCATTATCACATGCATGAAGCTTCACAATTACTGCATGGATGAGAAAGTGGCGCTACCAGAGCTACATGAGGAGCATGAAGACCCCTCTCTTCACCACCTGGCGACATATGTCATCCATGCCAATTATGGACTCTCACTCAGAAACAAGATCATTCAACAAGTATTCAGCCAGTAGTAAGTATGTTGTTTTGAATGGTATGTCTAATATTAGCTCTAATAAATACTAGCATTACAGAATTAAGATACATGACAATTTCGGTATTAACAGAATTTAAGTCATTGAATTATTCCCCAAAGAAAGTGGTTCTCAAATTATTATTATATTTAATACACTTAAATGAACTTAAAATGAACTATTTATTTTCTTGAAACAACTTATTATTTTTGGCACATATTCTGGTTTACATATATCAAGACAATGTAAATATGAAAATCAAATTTACAGATGCAGGTCAAAATACACCTATAATATAATGGACAGATTCATTTGGAGTACAAGATCAATGCATTTCCTGTAAGGTCCATAACATTAAATGCTATGAAACAACTTCTTCAGGATAACAACTAATGCAATGGAAATAATTGCCTTGAATATTAGACTATTACTTTCCTTTAAAAAGTTCATTTTCCCTATCATTTTCCCTATCAAAACGAATTGGATATCCATACAAGGAACATGAGAATTTGGGATGAAAGAGAATTGATATACAAAAGTGGATTAAGTGGGTACCGGTAAGTGATACATGCTTAAATTCACTCTGACCTCATGTACATTACTAGTAGATAGATGCTGCTCTTCTGTTAGTTAGCATTCTCCTGACGAAGGGACAAGGAAAAGCCCTGAAATGTTGTGTACAATAAAGAAGAAGTTGACATCCATAATATTTTTGGTATTTCTCTGCAAGATATACACTCTAAATTCACAAAAATATCTAAACTCTAAAACAGAGAAGGTATCCCCAAATACCAAAAAAATAGAACATGTGCATGTTTGCAGAGATATTGTATTATGCATATTATACTCTGGTTTGATTTTATTACTTTCTGTACTGGGGATTTATCTGAAAGTTCATACACGGTAAAGTGGAATTTTTAGCAGTCAACTCCATTACACAATACAATGTCAGGGTTTTGTATATTTTCACAGTAGATATTGTACAATTTGCAACATTGATGTACTCTCAAGTATTCCTAACATGACAAATCTGGCAATTAGGAACTACATTTGTATTTATATTTATTATTGAACTGAAATGAAAATAACTACTAGAGAGGTTAGCTATTTCCCTTCAAATAACTACAATTAGTTGACATACATTTCAATACTCGTTAGGGAAGTTGACTGTTGGGAAGACACTGTAATCACACAATTCCTTTTCCTTCTCCTTCATGGCCAGTAATTTTTCTTTAATTGCCAAGTCTCTGTCTTGGTAGGCTTTTGTGCAGAGGAAGAAATCTTTCCATAGTTTGTCTACTTTCCTCTCTTCTATAGCGACTAACTTCTCCAAGGGGTCTTCTTCCTTGATTTCTGAAAGATTAAAACTAACATGATGCAAAACTGTCAGATTTTCTGGACCATTGACTGAAATGTTTTGGGAAAAAATTGAAGAATATTAGGGATCATATATAATTCATGCAGTCACAGACTGACATTTTATTCAAAGAGATGAAAGAAAATCATTCATGGGTTGAAATATCAGGTTTGCAGTACTACATTTATCAATTTTTAGCCGAACAATAACCACATTTCATATCAACATCAAATAATACCTAAAACCCCAAAACTTATATTGATATTTTACTCTTAAATAAGATTAAATGCACAAAATAATTGTATCCGTCACAAGTGCAATTTCATTAATGGCTCAATTGAATCACATTAACAAGGGGGCCGGAGGCCTGAAATACAACAAAGTTTTTTTCGAATTTGACTTTCACAAGTATTTTACATAATTATTCAATACACCCGAAAAATTCTGGTGAAAATTGCAATATCTTAGAGTAGGTATTAATACAGTTATATCGCAATATGTAGGCATATTTCTAAAATGTTAACATGTTAGTTGTATCATAACAGTTATGGAAATGTATTTACCTAATTTCCTTTTCCCTTTAGACTTTATTTCTGAAATATAAAAAGAAAAAAATTATACTTGGTGACAAAAGATGACATCATCATTTGCTGAGCAAAAGATTACAGATGAGTTATATATATATTACACTGAGAACACAAAATATCGTACTTCAGTGCCGTGTAATTGTAAGAAATAAAGTGCTGTTTTGCTGACATAGTACATTTCAGATTTTCAAATGAAGCAATATTATAAGTTTAGAAAAACAAGAATTAGGTATATTGAGTGTTTCTTAAAAGTACATTTACATTTGCATTCAATATGCACACTTATTGTTTTTCAGAATCTTGAAAGAAGTGGCAAATGCTGTACCTTTCACTGTGACAACCTCTGCAGCAGCACTGCTAGAATTTCCTGATGCCACACTAACTGCCAATTTCATTGCTGAGGTACCTGCTGATGTTACTGTCGATGATGTATGTGTTGAGGAGGCGACAGGTTTCAGTGTGGATGAGCACGTCGAAGAAGCTACAGTGTTCAGTGTGGAGTCGCTCGTTGACAACAATGTTGAAGAGACTACCGATATTGGCATCGAGGATGTCAGGGTAACCAGTGTTGATATTCCTGGACCTGGTTAAAGAGCAACATATACATTGTACACATAACATAGCAAATTTGTTTATCATATGATATCATTTAATCATACATGTTTATTCTTAATCTGCCATCTTCAGTTAATTCAATTTGCTTATGTTAAGATTCTGTATCATTTCTTAGATCGTAAGCTGATTATATGTCTCAGTAAAGTCCATATATTTTACATAAATTGTTTTGTTATCTATTTTACATACTTGATATATGCTTGTTTATTCCAACAAAACACATTGTGATACATTCAATCAGATATTTACGTTGTATTTTGTTATCAATACTATTGAAAATTAAAGAAACTTTAATTAAACAAATTTTTATTGAATAGACTTACATTCATCATTAAGTCCCACTTCCATGCCACCTTCCACTCCATCAGTTTGACAAGTAGGGATCACTGACAAAACCTGCCACACAACATATGGTACATTAAGTCTCTGACAAAGTAAATGTGATAATTGTGATTTGTAATGATGTTGTATTGATAATTCACCTTATAATGTAACTGAGTGAACTCCAATATGTTATTAGTTTAAATTACTACATTTACACTTACAAAATATGTAGTAATCACATTGACTTAAAGGAAAATGTTAATTAAATTGCAGTGAATGATTCAAGAGAACCCATATCATTTTACAATTGAAAATTACAATTGCTTCCACAATACCTTTTTCTTCAATGGCCGTGAGGTTTGCGGGAGCATTGCCACCCCTGTGTATTTCTGCTCCTTCTTCAATGATATGGACTTTTTCTTGACATAACACCTGTGAGGTAACAAAATGTAAGTTAATTTGCTTGTCAAATTAAACATTTCTTAGAGATATTTTGCCGAAGAGCATCGTATGAAAAATATAAACCCTTCATATTTTCGCTTTTATAGGTAATAAAATAAAATCACTGCCAATTCAGTATCGTATTTAAATTATCCAAATTATGTGGACAAATTATAGTTTAAAACAATTCCTTACTTGTAATCATTCCACTTCTTGCGAACTTCAATCGCTCCCCTGTTAGTCGCACAAACTGCGTTGATTCTAAAAATATCATTAAAATTTGTCAACATTTATGAACAACATCAAACTATAAATAATAATAAGTAAAAGAATGGTCTCTATATTACTTGTTTGCAATACTGGAAAAATGTTATTTCATTATTGTCCATATATTTCTTATCAAATCTATATAAACAAACGGCATAGAGGCATACATTATCATAATATTACGTAACTTCATAGAGGACAAAATATTAAATTTTGCGGCGCAATTCACATGATATAGTATGTAAACAAACAGAAATTCTTTATAGGCCACTCACTTCTCGGCAATAGCTTCCCACAGCCTCCCTTGACTTTCGCCGTGACGGTTGCCGAGAAGGCTCCAAATAATGCTGACTGGTGGTGTGTCACTTCTTCAACAAGAATTTCAAGCTCGCTGACTTGAAAGTTCGACCTCCTACTCTTTTTTTCGTCTGACATTATCTCAAATTTAGTTCACGTCGTCTGCTTGGAAGGGGAGGCAACTCTCACCAACCGGAAGTAATTGAAACGCATTATTTCTAACTTTGTCGCAGAAGATCACGATTGTAATTTACGATCGCAAGAGTTACAATCGCGAGACTTACAATCCCCTTACAATAGCTTTGAGGAACGAAAACAAATTATTATTTACGATAATTGTAAAGTTGATCGTAGGGCTTACAACTGATTGTAGCTACGATCTCTTTGAGGAACGGGGCCCAGGCCTATTCCATCCCAAACCATGATGCTTGCGCCTCCCCATGAGTCTCTTTCCATAACACATTGGTTTGAGTAACGCTGGCCACGACTGGCCATGTTCTGCCATCTGCAGTTGATACGCAGTACCGACTCTTTTCTGTGAACAGAACAGTTCTCCATTGCCTGTATCGCCAGTTTTGGTGTTGTAGGGCAAACTGTAGACGTTCACGCCGATGACGAGGGGTGAGGATAGGTCCACGGTAAGGTCTACTGCAATGGGGGTTCCCGCTGTTAAGACGTCGGCGTACTGTATCAGTACTGATTGATCTTCCGTGTGTTCCCACTGTCTGGCGTGCTGTTTCGGATGCCTGCATGAAGGGTTTATGTACATGCTGTCGCACAACATGGCGGTATTGTCGTCTTGTGGTCACCCTTGGTCTGCCAGTACGAGGGCGATCATTTGTGGTGTTGGTGGCCCGGAAACGTTGCTGCAGCCTGTAGATAGTCCGAACGTTGACCTGGAAGTGATCAGCAACGGCTTGTGCAGTGTGGCCAGCTTGGTTCCTCTGAGCTGTCGTGAGTCGCGGCATCCTGCTGACGTTGTAATGAGAATGTTTCAACCAGGTTTGGGGGTGCATTTTATAGGGCTGGTCCTTGTGAACAGCTCGTGCAGCATGAGTTGCATGTAAAACATGGAGAACACCGTACCATCTCCGAGATCAGGTTAGTTTTTGAGACCATTTCCTGGGTTCAGTTCTGAGTTTGGGAAGAAATGTCTTTGCTCAGGTAAAAAATATAATCAAAACATTACAAGAGTTTACAGTTATCCGTTTCTGCGAAGGAAAATTCGAAACTGACGTTTCTTTTGCTGCTTAGTATATATTCAGATGCAAAAGTTATTGCGACATTGTTGTTTTTCGCTGGTAGGCTTGTGGATAGATTTTTGTATTTGAAACAGGGAGTTAGATCAGGAAACAATGGTCAAGTAAACGCAACCAGGCACATGTTCGAAATGTGAAAGAAGCATGGCGTATTCGAGAAAATAGCTAAGACTGATCACTTTAAAGGGCAAGACGCTTATTATTTCTATCTATTACAGTCTGAAGAAGACGATTAAACGTCCACACACACACAATTTACCATCTACGGCGACCTTTTAGCAAAACATCAACAAAAAACCAAGTGAAAGACCGTCCCTGCAGTGGCCGCCGACAAGTAACGACCCCTGCAGATTATGACCTATGGTTTGAAACACGCATCTCCGTCACAGGTTCCATCCAGAAACCCATACAGCCCAAACCATACTTGGCGGGAGGGGTGTTTTTGTGAGAACAGATCAATGACGTCTAAGCGTCTTTGCAAAACGTCCAGGTCCAGTTCCTGGAACATCGACGTTGACGTCTCCATTAGAAAGGAGATCTCTTGAGTGATGAGTCACATATTGGCGCATGGGTAAACGTTACATCCGACCATGTGTCCCGAAAGGGGATCGTGATTGAGGGGAAATTGAATACTGCTTCTTTACCGTTTATGCAACAGAAGGGCTCTTGAGTGACTTTCAGCGCGATAACGCCAGGCCATACGTTACTCGAGTTGCATAATCCCTGATGTCTCACTCATTGAACACTCTGGGATGAAATGGAGAGACGTTTACGACGTCATCCGAATCCTCCAACAACGCTGAGGGAACCCTTTAGCTGATATGGAATAATCGACGTTTAGTGTCCTCAACGAGGCATCAATTAACTCGCTACTAACCTTGTGAACGCGCTTGGGAATCCATCTTGTGTTTACATCAAAAACACATGTCATCGCTAGTGGTGGTTTATACAATTAGATTGATGGTGTCCTCATAGTGGCCGAACTTTCCGACACTGTTGATATTTCATTTTGGTGTATGTATTTTCCCAGAACGCCAGTACATAGTTACTAAATTTCCTTTTCGGTCTTTGTTGTTGTAATAAGTAAACTACAACTACAATTTTCATACGCGGAATTTGGATTACAAAGCATATGTAAGTGAGTGAGTTTAGTTTTATGGCGATTTTGGAGCAATATTCAAGCACTATTGCAGCAGGGAACACAAGAAATGGGCTTCACACAATGTACATCTGCCCTTGTACTGGGAATCGGATCAACATGTAGTATTTGTGCTAATCGTTAAAAAAAGGGTTGTGCTTGATTAATGCTCATGGCTCTGTATTGGCAACATGAAGCATGAGTAAGTGGAGATCTTTGCTTTTTTTTTCTCCTACTCTAAATTAATGTTCTTTACGAGATAATCGATACTGATTTTTATCTTGTTTTGACGTTTTGAATTTACCTGTACGAGGATATCCGGTGAAGTATATGTCATCTGGCTTCATGTTGAAACCTTTGATTTGTTGTAGTACTTCGACTTTAAACAATGACACGTAATGTACCCCTTGGAATAGTTCATAGGTTAGGGTTTGGCCGCTTCGATCTGTTACTTTAACCATGTGCTGCCCGCTGTAATCTACGTCCAACGTCTTCCCAGATACCTAGGAACAACAGGTGCTCGTTTATATCGTTCATGTAATTGTAAACACATCCCATTTAAGGAATGTATAATATTTTCCTTATATAGTATGTATAGAATGTAGAACCTGTCAAAATGGAAACCTACGTTTATACTTTCACTTTGTTTGTTATTACAAATCTAATCAATGTTTACTCAATGCTGTGCTCATTTCCACATATTATCATTTCAGATCAATCGGGACATAGGGGGCTTAACAACTCGGGAACTTTATAACAACTCGTATGTGAGATCACAGCAACAACGATTATCTTCAAGACACCTTTTCCGTTTCGTTGACAGGAGGGAGCTTCGGAAAAACGAACTATGAAGCATGGTATTATTTTATAGATGCATCTCCACGTTTCTACTTAATACGGTAAAATTGACGTAAATAACCGCGCCTCCAGGTCATTCACCGTTACCCAGCAAAGAGAAAAGGCATTCTTCAACGTGCCTGTGTTATCGGACAGCAGAACAAAATCTTTTTCAGGGACATTGTAATGAGAAACATGCTTTTTCTCCAGTTTACTCACACTGAATGCCACCTCTTCTCTCTTCGTGTCAGCCATGTTTACACTGTGATACACGGATTATCCACTCAGTCCTGTCACTATGATAACTTCAGTATAACGACAATATGGTGAAAGGTCGCTGTCATAACATGGGTAAAGCGTTACCGTCTTTCTTCTGATATAGGAGGCTTCACATTTATACACAACTACCTTGAAATTCAATCACTTCGAATGCGTTGAGAACGCCTGTCTTATAGAAAGTGGTCAAATTTAACATCTGTTATATTTAGAGTATACTTTATAAATAAAGTACACAATCTAGAACCTTTGTGGGTTGAGTTCCATGCAGGATTCGAACGCAATGTTAATTTGCTAACAGACGGGCATCAACATTTCTGTTAACTCATCCGTTTGGATCAAAGGTCGATAGAGGGGAGTTTCCATGTATATTCTCACGCCGTTATCAAGATAAAAGTTACTACAACCAGGTGAATAGAGGTTTATATGCATAGTGACAAGCAGCAAATTAACAACAGGTAATTCAGCAAGTAGCACGTCGTTGGGGCCAACAGGAGAGTAAGATCAACAAGTCTAAATCCACTCCATTCTCCAAGTGATGGAATCAATCAACATTCAATCAGCTTGTTTATCCTGAACGTTGTACATCGAAACGCCGCTCTATGCAATAAACAGGGAGTTGTTATCACGTAAGTGGTATGTTTCGTTGTGTATCCCCGTACTGTTTACTGCAGTATAAGTGAGATCTGCTTCACTTTGCGAATGACCAATCTTTTGAAGTTAATATAAGTTCTACTTTAGTAAACTGCTACCTAACAGATTGATCTCAGATTAAAACATCTCATTCTAAATTTGTGTTTTCTATTTCAGGTACTAAGAAATACTGAATTTTTACGTATTAGATATACATCTATCGGTACCAGTTTGACGTGTCTGGTCATGAGTTAACTAACATAGTGATTATATATTTTTGACCATTGCATGTGTCATTCACACGTCATTTATGCCATGATAATGTTCTCTGATCCATTTCATCATACAGCATTTATTTCATTCAATGTTTTGAAGCTCATATGAAAACATGAAAAATGTTACTGTTCCAGTTCCTTTTGAAGAGTGAAAGTATTTTTGTTCCTCAAGTCTTCCAACCAATATAGTCATTATGGTTACAAACGACCTGATTTTAATACCTATCAAGTTAGATGTTATACACGCGTGCATGCACACACACCCACACCCACACAAAACATCCGTAATTTGTGAATTCTGTTCGGACGATAAAGAAATATCTAATTTGATCAGAATCAGTATATGAATTATCTTCCCTTACTCTGAGAGAAGCATGGCATTATTCGTTCATTTTTTAATAATTTTATCTGCATAAAAGAAGGTATTATCAAAACCGTGAAACAAACTTGCGTATACTACCATATCACTAACATTGCGATATTGACCATGGAATAAATGTTAAGTTTAGTCTGTTTTCAATGTCATAATATGTGAGGTTCCTCATTCACACATACATACAAACTTACAGCATAACACAAAACAATATGCAACCAACCCAATGTAATAGAATACAAGTTTCACCGCCTGTGCATACCACACTGTTGACGAATCTCTCAGGTGTGTTAGAGCGATAATCACATCGCGACATGATTAACAAGCCTACAGCTCAGCAGATTTTAATAACTTACCTTTTTAATAAGAAAAGCAAGATTTATGGATGTCAACTTCTTTATTGTGAATAACACGAAGTTTCGGAGCATATGCTTGCTCCTTCATCAGGTGAAAATCAGGTCACAGTAATGCATTCCACTTCTTAATGCCCATCAAAGATTTAACTTACTTCCAGAGGCTTCTTTAAAGGTCACATGCAACGTAAAACACAACTTTGCAGATTCTGATACCTTTCGGTATGGACTTACCGAAACAAATCATCAAAAATGCAAATTCAAGTTATAAAGTTGAAAAATAACGCGATGAAAAAAACCGCGCGAAATCGGAGTTCAAACGATTCACTAATTTTCCCCCGAAAATTTCGGGGGAAAACGGGTTTCAACAGCTGGGCTGCGCTCATAGCATGTGCGCAGTGAAATAGGTTCGCGCAACTTGGAAGCGGGCTGTCTGGTGAATACTCGTTGAAGGCTTTGATGTGAGCAATTTAATAATGTTTTGTTGATATCTCACAGGCGAGAGCTTTTTTATATGTTATGACAGTAAATAAACTGTTTATATAATTTCATCTGTCTATTTCCCCACACGTTCTTCTTACCGAGTCACTTTCTCAGTTCGATACTTAAAAGCAATGTCATTATTTAGCGTTGACAGAATTTCTAACTGTGATATACTATGTAGATATGTCGTTGTCACAGACAAAACTCAATGTCTTGTTTTGTTGACACCTGTCTGCCTGTCTGTCTGCTAATGACAATATTCAATACACAACTGCGATCACTGACCACATGCAATTTGAACTTAACACCAATCAGGCTATACACCATAAACAAAACGCATTGATTTATGGCCCGAGTTCGGTCTCTGTCACATTATGTAATTACACAGACAGGCAGGTGTGATACTTGTACACATGACATGTTATGATGTCTGTTGATTGCAAAATGTTATACACAAAAAATGAGCATGTATTTACAAAACCCAACATCTCTATATATACACACACAATCAGCCGTGAGGGCATCTGCAAATGAACCAGCCGTTACACCAGCCCTGACTGGGTTCGGTATCCCGGCTGCTTCGTTTCGAGGGAGGTAAACCCAAGTACAAAATATTGCACTTTTGATTTGCGATTATACGCTTATTATTTTGTTTATTTGTTTTTTCATAATCAGCAATGCATATTATATGTCATGAAGAAGTGATAATTGTGTTTTAATTATGTTTGATATTTTGGAGGCATGTGACCTTTAAGAGGCATAATAACTTATTTATTAACATGGCAGTAGGCCTTGTTAATTGGTGACTATTAACTGCCGTGACTCACTCATCAATCAACAAGGGATTAGGTCACGGGGCGTGCAAATAACAATGATTTACCATCACCCACCAGTTATCTCCCCTTGTGGACATTTCCAAAATTGTAAATCTTTGGAAACATCATTTTTCCAAAATTGGAAATGTCTTGTAAACATGGACTTTTTTTCCAGTGTGAGGGGGTTAGCTTTTGGAGATAAAACATTAAAGTCTCTTGTTGCAAGTGCAAAGGAAAAGTAGTAGCACCTCGGAAGGTACTGACAATCTTGGAATAGAAATTCCAGAAATGTTTTCTTCCAGTGTTGTTACTCGCGCTTACGTTAGACAAATATCATCTGAGAATGATTCCAGGTATAATCCACTTTCACGGATCAGTCTTTTGACCTGTCTGAATTTTCGATCGAGATTATTTATAATTCTGACAATTTGGCCATTAATGAACCATTTCTGGGCATAAAGCAGTTGGTTAAGATGCAGGGAGAAGAAGCCAGAACTCAGGTTCTTGCCAATAGGGCAGTCTCTTTAAAAGAAGATGACAAAGTCCAGTTTTACTATTATTTCATGGATAGAAGTTTTAAGAGGAAATGGAGACCGCCAGATGTTTCTGCTGATAACGAATGGAAGGTTTTTCATCAGAATCCTTTCCAATCGAAAACATGTTTTGAGTTTGACGCATGGCACTCAGTTGGCAAATCATTTAGGTGTGACCCAAATTTGTGACAAAATTGTGTACTTATTTCCTAATTTGCGGCATGATGCGGCTGCAGTTTGCAGAAATCTGCCATGTGACCAACAATCGGGAAGCCTTAACAGAAAACACCATTTATGCCACGGTTTGAGGAGCCTTTCAGCTGGGTCATCATTGATTATGTTTATCCTTAGCCAAAAGCTAGGCCAGGCAATCAGTTCATGCTTATTATTATGTGTGCTTCCACAAGTTTTCAAGGGGCAATTCCTTCACAGAAAATTACAGCTAAGGTCATTTTTAAGGCTTCGGTGAAGTTTTTCACCATGTTTGGTTTGCCTAATTCTGTACAGTCTGATCAAGGCTCCAATTTCATCCCAAGACAGTAATATAACATTGATGTCAATCACCGCATGTGTTCTGAGAGTTACTCGCATGCCTTCATGTAGGTGTCATACTGAACCGAAAACACTAAACACCATTGGGAAACCTACATGACGTAAACTTACTCTGGATGAATTATGAAAATATTGATAAGAAACATTAGTGCATTTCATAAAAGATCAAGTTTTTATTCTGGTTAGAAATGCATATTTTACAATTGAATGCATACAGAGTCAACGGTTGATCCTCTTCCACCTAACATTAAAATACTTTCTTAGAGTAGCCATAGACTTACATGTCGAGGATTCTGAGCATGTACAATCATGTGATGTGTGTAAAATGATGACGCTTGCAACAAGTCTTGTTTTCATACCTGCTACACAGAGCCATGTTCTGTTGAGATGACAATTTTTGATGAATACCAACGAACGAAAAACAACCTTCCTCCATCTGGTGTACAGAACTGAATCCCTCAGTCATACATACCAGCTTATGACACTTGCTTTGTGAACACCACGACAATGAGAGGCAGAGGAAGACAGCCATGTTTTATGACAAAAACTGTGACAATCACTCAAAAACGTCTGTTAACGCAAATGTCTGCAGGAACATGTTCGACAAAATCATTTTACTCAACATTGCAATCATCACTGTCAATTGTTCCAGATCTGGAGACTGCAAAGATATAGCAATACCATCAATACTCTAACATCAATGGCGAAATATGCATCGAAAGTCACCGATTGGTGTATGGTGTTGCTAGAGAGATATGTGTTCAGGTTACGTTTAGTGTGATATTGCTAAATAAAGTGTTTCGAATAATATAATGTTTTGACCACTTGAACAGAACCATTTTGGCATAACATCCGAATATTACGATATATTTGAAAACTTAATAGAGAACAGGCCAAAAATAAACCGAAAGGTCAGATGTTTTAGTGTTTACTCCTTGCATAAGCATAATAGAATCTGGACCCCGCCATCTTTTCTTCGTACACTCTGTAGTAATCTTCCAACATCTGGTCGTTGAACCAATTCTTCCAGTCACCAACGACTCCTGGGGTATGTGATTTAAACATCATGATAGTCATAAAAATTCTCTAAAGTATTCGTTTGTTACCAGGAAACACATTATGGTGCACCTTTCTTAGATATTACTCTTTATCAAACGTTGTTCTTAAATACTTGTGACTCATTAAATGTTGCAATTGATGTTTTACTTGATTTATTATGGAACCACCTTAAACGGTTTTTTATTTAAAAGGGCAGTGTTCATGAAATTACCTTTTCTGTACAGAAAGTGTTCCCCGTTCACTTTTATAGAAAAGGGTTCTTTGTCGATTTTCATTCTGGAAAAGCTGCACTTCTCTGCAATGGCTTGGCACAGATCATCATTTCTGTGAAGTCCAAGAAAGTCAGACAGTGCTTGTACAGCACGTACAGGATCCTAAGAAAAGAAAGGAACAATACCCAGATCCTCAATTGTTGCAAAATTATGTCTTCGTCCTCACCATTACATTTGCAGGAATTACAATGTATCTTGTAAATATAGACGTTGGCCATTATTTGTTTGTCTTGTTAGCTTTGCGAGTAACGCCACACTCTGCTGTTGACCAGCTATATGTACATAATCGAGTCTGTACCAGACAGTCCAGTGTCATTACAAACATCCTTTTCCGCAATGGGCAATCTTTTTCAAATTATCTTCCCTTCACTAACCCGCTAGATGCGTGGATCCGGACCGTCCAAACTTAACCGGACAGCGCATGTCGTATGCGCGATGCGAGCTTTACGTGTTAGTATTAAAGTAATAGAGACAGTTAACCAGTACAGCCTTCAACTTCACCTTCACCTTCACATATGACATTCACGCTGGTGTATGGACAGTAGATCTTTTCCCTTAAACGATAATATATCAAGTCTTACATCCTGAAATATTTGTTCCATGATTCCAAGATACATCAGGGATACCCATGACTGCTTATATTGCCATAATGAATCACCAGATGACCATTCGAAACGAGGCGGTTGAATCAGCTGATAGTTCCTTTCAGGTCATGTTTTGCCGTTTTGATCACGTTTTGCTATCGGTAATTTATCTCTTGCACAAGATGTCCAAGTATCACACCTTTCACCCTATAGTGTATCTTCATTCGAATCTCTTTTGTACAATGAATAATGAAGTTATTTAAGAAATACAGTTCGCTCTACCACCATGTATAGTGTAATAAAGCACACTTTCGCCCTGAACTATTATAGTTAAAGTACGAGGAGTGCTTTAACGTTATAATAGTTCAGGTCGAAAGTGTGCTTTATTACACTATACATGGCGGTAGAGCGAACTGTATTTCTTTTCAAAGATGTCAAATGTACTACTTTCTAAGGACAATTACGATTAATTTAAGGCACAAAACAAACGACGGTCTCGGTGACCTAAATTAAGAATCCTCGCACAGGGCTAACTGGCACGCTGTTCTATTGATGTGTCTGCCCTCCTACGTTAAGACGAACGTTACCAGAAAAAACCCAAATGATAACAGTTTGATGACGGTTTACGTTCGGATTAAATATCTTCTCTGAATTATTTTAATTACATCTGTGATTAACGTAAACCATATGGGGCATTATGAACGTCGCATTTCTACTACCCACGAAAGTTTAGATCAGTACATCCAGATGAAGCTGAGTAGTCAAGCGACATTCCACAATTGCATTGTGGGAATGTAAACATTGCGAACGTTACCGTGTCGCTGAAACCTTGTGAGTCGAATTGAGACATTTTAACCATCGTAAAACATAAACGTAATGCTTCCACCAGTGATGTTAGCTGCGAGAAGCAACTGCAAACCAAGAACCGGGATGCAACGGAGTAGTTTACTGTAGGAGGCCGTACGAGGCGATGACAACTGACACGCATCATGACGTCGCTTACATTGTGACGTAATGTAAACTGGTTCAATTACGAGGGGGCAGACTAGAATGGCGCAGTGACGCCCAAAACATTGTGACGTAAAGCAAAAAGTGCACATTATCGTCTGATAAAGTACTGTCGGCGCCTTTGATCTTTCACCGAAGCAATCTTAGAAATATAATATGGCGGGTAGCTAATGCGGTCTACAAAATGTGAAGGTCTTGTATGCAATGTGAGAATTTCGTCGGTTCGTACATATCTGGACAACAACACAAATATTTGGCAGGTATATAACTGAGTCAAGTGAAAACCATGTTCAAGTGATTGTAACACAAACGGTCCAGGAGGAATTATGTCAATCATCACCTACATATCACAAGACAATATTCAGCTCACATACTGTTTGAAATTAGAGTGGTAATCACTGAAATGTTTTTGGTTTCTGTAAGGGTTCATGATGTATAAAACTATTTTGTGGATGAATGGTGTATAGCTATTGCAAATTTCTACAATGACTGCATTTTGATTAACGGTATATATTAAAATGGCATTTTTAAATTTTGAAAAAAATATATCGTTTTAGACAAAGAAGAGGCTATACTAGTTTAACAACATGTTCAAGTTTTTCATCATATAAATCAAACTATACATCCGTATTAAACTTATTAATCTCTGTTATGACAGTTTTAAGAGTTGTAAACATCTTGGTTTCATTTTCCTGACTCCATGCAGAATTGCTTATTCAAATTATGATGACTGGTACCGCTGCTGCAACTGACTAACTGCTTGGATGATAGATGCATGGTATACACCATGTATAATTGGAAAATGCAGTGTCAGAATTTAAAAACCAAATGAAATCAGGTGTGTGAGGAACTGCTGATCAAAACGTAATATTTATATTTATTGTCCACAATTACATTCTGCACGGTGTTTCTTCAATTATCAATAAAGTTACGGAAGTATGATAATGATAAATCAGAGCTAAAGGGGTGTCAGAGGATGCACGTTGGCTGCAGATGTAGGCGTATCTCCGATTTTATTACAATGAAATACATGAGAACTATTTGTTAGATTTTAAATGCGGCAATTGTTGGGGACTTGTCGTTGGAAATACCATGAGGGCCAATATTTGATGTAATTTTTCATTATTTCATCGATGCTACGTTTATGACACTTACACGGTCTCATGTTCTGACGTAGGAAATACAGTGACAATATGTGCCAATTTCTCATGGAGTTCTCCCCGTTATCTCACATCGTACCAATTCGTATTGCAAATGGAGATTAAACTATTTGATCGTTTGTCAAAGAAGGTCCAGCAGGGCAACGCGTGAGCTTGGCTCTGTCTTTACATCTCGAAACTTTACATGGTGTTCATTGAGTACGGAACCAGACTGGAAGCAAGAAGCTGGACCGTTGCTTACACCAGTTTAAAAGGAGAGTTATCAGCCCTCGGAACAAACAAAATCACCGATTGCATCGACCAACTCAACGAACCAAGTGAGTTGCCCAATACAACAAGCATGAGCTCCTGAATGCTAGTCATAACCTGGACTGACATAGGTCTGGTCATTATTTATTAGAAAACCATTGCACTTAGGGCATTGTTCTTAACGCTCCTCCAACCGTATGTGGATGCTTTAGTAAAATAAATTTGGTAATCATAGCTTCAGATCATTTGTGCAATTAGGCTGTGATTGGATACCTTGATGGCTTCTTCATAACTTTGAAAGTGCACTGGGACTTCAGAATGGTCAGTGAAATATTTCTCGGCGTCTCTCCAGTGTTCAAATATGCCATTACTATCCACTGAAATAAGATAAAATCCTCAGTTTAACATTAATGTGTAGTGTAAGTCCCCGGAATCCCCCGCGAAGTTGCCCAGCGCTGGATGTTGTCCAACTTTTGTGAAATGTATTGTAATGTTGAAACACGTGTGACAAAATATGTCTTTAAATTTATCACTTTGAAGTTATGTGTACACATAGACTAATTGCCGTCTTACGGCTGCAACAATGCCGATGCAACATCTGAATTTAACTAAGTTGCTCACTTTATGTCATTAGACATTTCAGAAACAAGTCAGTAAAAGATACAGAAAACTGACTTAACTCAAACATTGCACAATCCACCTTGGATGAGCTAATTGACATAATTTTGACTTGGTTCGTCACTACAGTGTATATGTAATTTATTGGCATCACACACATTAATTTCTATCAATATGGTATGCATAAGCTTTCTGTATTTTCACAATCAAGTGTGAAATCAGCTTAAACATTGTATGCTTTCAAACGGATATTTCAACCACTGCAGACCCAAGTACACTTTTTTGTTGTTTAATGCAGTATTGTGTACTTGTCCACATACAGTGGTATGTAATCATCGATTCTAGATCCGAAATCCAGTGACTGACATGATGAGGATGATGACATGCGAAACCAATCAGTGAGCCTGATCAGCCGATCCAGGTAGTCGCTGACGACAAGGATGCGTTGCTGAAGGCTTTTATTATCCGGATTGTCATTGTTTTGTTAACAATATGAAAAAACCCAAAACCAATTATATTTCTGCACTTAAACATTTTGTATACGTCATAAAGAAACTTTTGTCATATCTTTTTAGATGACTAGGAGAATTGGCGACAAAACGACACTTTTCATATGTTATTCCACAGTTATGTCGTATCAAAGCAACATATACGATGCTCCATCCTAGAAAACTTGAAGATATTCCTCAAAGGATCCCTGATATCTACCGACTGAGTGTGAAAACATAACCACGAGGAAACATGTAGCGCTGCGCTAATAGTTCATGCAAAAACATCTCGTTTGCTTGATCTTTTAACAAAACATGAAGGGTAAATCAGTGTCAAACCTGTTCCATCCAAGAAGAGTTGAAGATAATCCTCAAAGGATCCCATGTATGTACTACTAAAGACCGACGATTTGTTATAATAGAGTTTGTACAGAGAGACGGCAACATCCTTTGGGTCTCGCATAGTGTAGATGACTTTGCACTTCAGAGGTGTTACATCAGTTGGACAGTCGGACAGCTTCATGTGAGAGTTGACGATGCGTGGTGATGGCAGCTGTGCAAGTTCATCATGAGGAGTTAACTCTATGAGATCCTTGGCTTTCTGGATGGTTTCAGCTTTACCATTAAGAAGCATGCTTGTCATTTCAAATGTCCAGTTTGTCCCTTTAGCAAAGAAGAATAAAGACTAAATGTCAAAACCAGCTGAAATATAGTATGAACGACTGGAACATAACTTCCGTCATCATACTTTAGATTCCTGATTCACCCGACACCTCATCAGCTCTGAGCTGAGCCAAAACATCCTCTACACACGGTAGTTTTATACTACTTATTTTAGTTTGTAAACATTGAAGTGTATATCGGCAGAACACTGACTAAAACAGTATATCATCAAACACTGTGCAATATGTACAAATAATTTTACTTGGTACTTTAATGAGATGCGCATTTCACTTAGAGCTTTTCATTCAAGATTCATTCAAGGTTTTGCATTCAATGTCCTGGTCAAGTCATTCCCGAAATGTTACGGTAAATATTAAGAGGAATATACTAAATGTTACACATTTATTTGTTTACATGGCAGACACGTGACGGATACGTGCTACATCAGTGACAACCATGAAGTTGGTTGCAGTTCACTATTCACAAGACATGATTGCAAGTTTTCAACCTTTCACGAATACCTGGAATATTCACCGTTTGATAATCTGCCATAAACACACGCAGTAGACTGTTTTGACTGTGTATTTGGGATCCTTATGGAATGAATTCTAAACATTTATTGTCAATATGGCGCGTTCGTGGTTAGTGATAGCTAAAGCTAGTTTAACAAGAAGGCCTTGCATCATAGCTGGTTTTCTGTCTTTCATTCAAATGATTTTCATAAATATTTCTCTAACAACTCCAAATACATTCTGCTGTTACAGCCAATCGGGAGGAATTAATTGATCGATATCTGGTGTCAGCTAACCTGTACGAGGATATCCGGTGAAGTATATGTCATCTGGCCTCATGTTGAAACCTTTGATTTGTTGAAGTACTTCGACTTTAAACAATGGCGTGTAGTGTACCCCTTGGAATAGTTGAAAGGTTATGGTTTGGCCGCTTCGATCTGTTACGTTAACCTTGTGCTGCCCACTGTAGTCCAAGTCCAACGTCTTCCCAGATACCTAGGAAACAGGGGCTCGTTTATATCGTTCATGTAATTGTAAAACATATCCCATGTTAGGAATGTATAATATTGTTCTTATATAGTATGCAAAATAGAACCTGTCAAAATGAAAACATACGTTTTTACTTTCACTATATTTGTTATTACAAATCTCATCAATGTTTACTATGTTCAATGTTGTGCTCATTTGCACATATTATTGTTGAATATCAGTCGGGACACATAGGACACCTCCGGTACTTTCTTCCAACTAATACGTGAGCTCACAGTAAAAAATGATTGTTTTGAAGGCACATTTTTCATTTTGTTGACAGGAGGGAGCTTCAGAAAAATGAACTGGGAAGCATGGTATTATTTTATAGAAGCATCTCCACATTGCAACTTAAGTATAGGAGAAAGTCTGAGTATCTGTCCATTCCTGAAAGGTAATGGAGCCGAGGCCCGAAAGGCCGAGGCGCCATTAGCTTTCAGGAATGGACAGATACTCAGACTTTCTCCGACTTAAAATACACCAAAACCGAACGTAGAATACAATGCAGATCAATGAACATCAAATATGTTTTCAGTTAAAACTTAAGAAACCATTTTATTAAAAAATGATCCGCTTTTATAATCTAAAACTGTGGTCCACAGGAGATATTGCTTGTGTGAGATCAAACGATATCTCCTAGGAGGCAGTATTTAATCCAAAGAAAGAGAAATTATTTCAGAAAAATACTTAACTAGCTCCTCCACTACACGGCTCAAGACGCACATTTTAGCTGCCAACCTTGACTTTGATATAATTTCGCCATTTCAGCTTTTCCCTACTCCTCCTTGGCAGTTAAGCAGGCCAGATCAGACACAAATCACTACTTTATAAACAGGAATATAGGCAATTGAGAAGAAAGTATGACTCTCTGTATTTACGGATGAATCCAAGGGTGGTAGCACGGTTTCAAGAGCCACTGTCACTGGATCCAGAGCAATATTTTTCACAATACCTGATAGCAGTTCAGCTGAAACATGGCTGTTCTAAGAGCTTTGAAGTATATTGAACATCATAGTAGACACGATAGATTGCCAGATAGTAAACAATTAATTGTCTTTCTTGATTCACTGTCATGCCTTCAGACACTGAAAAATGAAGCTTATAGTCTTACTTTATTAATTACAGGATCTTTTATCAACGTAAATTCCCGTTTAATGCTAAGTTAAAAGACAGGATTGTACAATAGCTTTTGAGAAATGTGTTTTATATAAGGTTGATGTAACTGAAGCTAATATTATTACGGCAGTGCTAATTAATTAGATTGTCAAAATAATAGTCCTCTGATGATAGCATGTTAGGCTAAATGCTATTGTAGTACTTTGCAGATAACCAGATACATATTTTGACATGTTTTAACTTATGGCTAACTTTTTCTACAACTGCCAGTTACAAAAGTGATGGCTTAAATCCTGTTGGGTTTCATGCAGGAAACAACAGTACTATAAGTCCTCATGATCCTCACTAAGGTGATCAAGCTTTGGTGACTGATGGTCTACAGCTCGTATTTTAATAGCATTACCTGTAATATTGATCTTTGTGTTGAATAAAGTCTTTATCTTTGAAATGGTTAGATTTTAAATTCAATTATGATAACTTGCTTATATTTTACTGTCCTTAGTGGCAGATACTTCTTATAGTTAAACCATTTTTTTCTCGTCACTGTATGGCTGAAATATTGTTGATGTGACGAAAAATGTTGAAAAAAGTGGTGGATCCATGTTTCATCATCTGTCACTAGACAAGAAAGAAATACGGCTTCATCAGCAGTATAGAGATCCAGGAGCTTTCGGCAACTTTCAGTTTTCTGATGGCGATCTTGAGCTCTGAGGTTTCTAGGTACCCATTGTGCCGATATCTTGGATATTCCAAGTTGATCGTGAATAATGGTTTCAGCAGTTCAAACTGACTGATATTTGGAATTCCTCAGAAAGTTCAGATACTTTTATTCATCTGTCAGACACAATTCTCCTTTCTATAGCGGCTAGGATTTCCGGTTGGGTGGCATCTGAAGGCCTATCTAACCTTGGGACTCCCTACCCCTTTTAAACTGTAGAGACCAACGGCAAACTGTGGAATAGTCAGGAGCATCCTGACCCTTCACTTTACACATGCGATCATGGCTTTTTTTGCTTTGCTCCCCTCCTTGGTAAGGAACGTTATAACAGCGGGTTGTTCATGTTTGAGAAAATCTATGATTCACCCTTAGGTGAATGGAACCATCATATCTAATTTATAGCTGTGTCTGCAAAATTTTATGAAACGTGTCAACCTCATATTATGACTAGTGTCACATTTGCCACAAGTTGACTTTGTGTAAACACAAATGCCCAAGTTGCAAAACTCGTAACCTCGTAACCGCTCGTAACTGCTCGTAACCCTCGTAACCGCTCCTAACCAGCAAAACCAGCAGCATGAAAAGGCATTCCTCAGCGTATCTGTGTTATCAGACAGCTGAACAAAATCTTTTTCTGTAACATTGTAATTAGAAACATAGCCTTCTTCAATTTACTCACAGTGAATGTCCCCTCTTCACTCTTAGCGTCATCCATGTTTGCACTGTGATACACAGATTATTCACACTGTCCGTCTTGTCTACAGTATCACGACAATATGGGGACTGAGTTTGGTTTTACGCCGCTTTTAGCAATATTCCAGCTACATCACGGCGGGGTCATCAGAAATGGGCTTCACACATTGTACCCATGTGGGGATTCGAACCCGGGTCTTTGGCGTGACGAGCCAACGCTTTAACCACTAGGCTACCCCACCGCCCGACAATATGGTGAAAGGTCGCAGTCGTGACATAGTAACGGCGTTACCGTCTTTCGTCTGATATAGGAGGCTTCCCAAGTTTAACATTGATACACAACTACCTGGAAATTCATTTAATTTGAATACGTTGCCTTTCAGAAAGTAGTCAAATGTAACATTTGTTCTATCAATACATTCTTTATCACTCTGTAGTTGTTGATGATCTATAGCCCGTTTTTATTTTGTACTGTCTATAATGATTTAATTTGATGATAGCGTACTAGTTTTACATTTGTATCTGTGATACTATATACCGAATCCCAAAGTGTACGTGCACACAAACTGAAAGGAAACAATCATTACAAGCGGTACGTTAATGTGAAAGGAAATATTTAGGTCGGGTCGACGTGATGTGGGTATACGTAACTAGGGTCATGTATGGTCATGAGTCCCAACCGCTGTTTTGGGGATAGTGATACTCCGTTGACACAAAGAGGCATGGAAGGCCGGGTATACTCACGGTAACCATGGAAAACGATATTTAATACCTCTCGCCAGGAGTATATGACTTGTAACATTTCGAAGTAGTGTCTACGTGTTGTAGATTTGCCATTAAGCAATGATTATGTATCAGCTTGATGACACGGGAGGCCTATGAGCTGGATGTAAGCTACCCAGTACAGGTGTGTGCATTCAGCGACACACCATGATTCCATGAAGTATCATGTGCCTTGTACGTTTCCGTTTTATGTATAAAAAAGCAAGGGCAAATGTCAGAGAGCCCGGCTGTCAATTCAGAAACGTTATCTGCTCCATTCGGAGTGAGGTGGGTGTGGGGATATGAGAGAGAGAGAGAGAGAGAGAGAGAGAGAGAGAGAGAGAGAGAGAGAGAGAGAGAGAGAGAGAGAGAGAGAGAGAGAGAGAGAGAGAGAGAGAGAGAGAGAGAGAGACTTGCATTGGCTCGTCATGTCAGGGTATGATTCCTCACATGGTGTCTCCTGACGTGATATTGCGTGACAGCAAACACACACGCGTTCTGTCAGTAAATTCATTTTAACTTCAATGTGAGATCACAGCTATACGTGGTGGTTTGAAGGGATTTTGTTTTTGTTGTAGGTGAAATCGAGCTTCTCTTTGTCTGCTGTATATAGTTTTAACTATTTTTCTCCTATAGTATTGTAGCGCCATGAGCGGGTATTAGTACCTGGGTGAAGCGCTATATACATACCACATTATTATGAATATTTATTAACATAGTAGCGACAAAAGGTTTTCGTTGGTTTTCGTTACAGTGAATGTCCTCCCTTCACGGTTCACTTCATCCATTTTGATGTTTGCACTGTGATACACAGAGTGTCCACACAGTCCGGTCACTCTCTTGGCTACAATAGGGTGAATGGTCGCAGTCTTATCATGGGTCAGATCTTACTGGTTTCCTTCTCAAATACCAATTTGATACACAACTGCCTTACAATTGTTTTACTTTGCACACATTAAGGACGCCTGTAGCAGGAATACACAATTATTGCCTAAGGCGTTCGACAACCATACCCAAACACACCCATATTTCATGGTGTCAATCATGGAGTTGTCTGGTCCAGGCTCGATTACTGGAATCTTTACTTTACTGAGTAAGTGTAACTCCAAATATACCCACTGGTCTGCTTAAAAAAGGGTTGATGGTTCGTTTGCGAGTTTGTTAGGGAAATGAAAACACTGTTTGATAGGTGGGGTTCTTTTAAAGAGATCAATGTAGAGTTTGAGAGTTTGAGGCAGTTTGTTTTGCATATAACTTTTAGGCAGTGTGTCTCAGGAGACAATCGGATCTATTGTGATTAGCAGAAAGTTGAGCAACTGCATAAGGCAGACGATTATTCATTAACACAAAAGGTTAGTTTTAGGCAATCAGACTCAATAACCAGACTGTTAAGACTGTTTTGACGGTATATGAATTGGATCCTTGAGTTCAGAGGCGTCGGTTTAGGTCTGCTATGAAAAGGGGCTGCTGGTACTTTTGTTCAGTTTGCTACGGAGATAAAGATTTTGTGTAATAGGTAGGACTTCTAAAGAGGTCCAGCGAGATCCAGTTTGAGGCAGTTTCGTTTGCTTGAAATGTTTGAGCATTGTGTCTCAGGAGACATTCAAACTTCTCTTGATCAGCAGAAATTTGATCTACTGCACCAGGTAGACACTTACTCATTAATGCAAAGGGTTAGTTTTATGTTGTCATACCCTTCAGGCAGTGGTTTATATGGTTATAAACCAGGAAAGGATAGTCCGATCCCTCCAACTTCCATCTCTCTCAAGCCACGGCGGATCATTTCTGAACATGGAAAGCTCGCATTTAGAAGCATTCATTCCTTTCCCAATGTTTTTTGTAAATGACAAGCAATGTTATGTATCGGCTAATGAGGTGTAAACTTTTGTAGACCAGTCAGCAAAGTCCCTTGTGAGTGACGAGTACTTACCTCATATAAATGTTTTGTGTCAACTGAAAGTGACATTTCAAGTGTTAAGACCTTTACTGTTTTGAGGGATAACTCTGATTTTGCATGGTAATTTGCCATTTGCCAAGGAGTCACTAGCTAATTCTGATATTCTTGTTAGAGGGTTTCATGTCAACCTCTCCGTTTTGTGAATGGTGATTGGTTAAGGTGGTGGTCGTAGAAACTCTATTAAAGGTGTTGCTTATTGTGAACGAGTTTGCAGCGGGTCTATGTTTGGCTAAACCTGTTGCTGGTCATGAGCCTAACACTTCAGAAAGGACTAAAATCTTGGAATAGAAATTCCGGTATGTTTCCATAATGTGTTGATACTCGTTCGTAGCGAAGGCAATCCTTTTTTTCTGAGAATGAGTCCAGTTATGATCCACATTCATGGATGATTCTTTTGACCTGTCTGTTCCTGCCATGGAGAGTACTAAAATAACTCTGACAATTCGGCTGTGGGGCAGATGGTTCAGTTACAGGTAGAAGGCCCAGAACTCATTTTCTTGCCACAAGGGTGCACTCTCTTTAGAGATGACAGGTTCCCGTTTGTTATTATTTCATGGATGGCATTTTGATGAGGAAATGGAGACCGCCAGAGGTAACTGCTGATAATGAATGCGTTTGGCACATGAACCTCCTTTGGCAGGTCATTTGGGTCAACAAAACTTTGTCTCATTTCTTGACGAGGTTGTATGTTTGCAAAACCTGGCATGTGTCCAATGGTTTGGAAAATACCACCAAATGACAGTCGTCAACGACCCTTTCAGCAAGGTTACCGTTGATTATGTTGATCCTTTGCTAGGTCAGAGGACTGGGATGAAGACAGTCATTTGTTTTTGTTTGCATTCAGAAAGTCAGTTCAAGAGTCTTTAAGTTTCAGTCATTTGGCCATACTGGACCTTCAGACCATTTGAAAGAGCGAAGGCTGAATGACAAGTCTGAAATCAGTCTCTTGGACTATGGTTCATCACTTTTGACTAGGCTTTTGAAAGTATGTGGGAATGCTACGTTGTGAAAGAATCCCTGAATAAGAAAAAGTACATCATGACAAGAAGTCTGATGAGTCGATTAATTGTTTTGCAAATCCCTGATCAACCATTGTGTGCTAGGTACGTTGGGTCATATTTTATTGATAAAAAAGGCAGCAATACTCCTTGTGTTGTGTTGACTCAAAGCCGTCGTTAAAAGGCACTACATTAGATAATGTAACGGATAATGATATGGATGAGTGATGTGACTTTGTAAAGTTTGATGGCATCGCCGACTCTGCTACCTGACATTTTAGCTAACTTAGATGTTAAGCTAAAGTGTCAGATTTATTGAAGAGTTTGCTCACTTATTCCTGGATGCACCTGGTAGTACATATTTAGTGCCATGATGTAGATGTAGGTGGCTCTGTGCCTGTGAAGTATCCCAACTGGATAAATCCAACCAAGCTTGAAGCCTTGCAGAAGGAGGTTCAATACATCCTGGACGTTGCTGAACCAAGTCAATGTCACTTGAGTTCTCAATGGATTCTTGTGCAGAAGCATGTAGGTGTACTTGAGAGTTGGTGGATACATCGATGATACTGTCACCCATTCGTACTAAATACATCTAAATTCATCTCCGTTCACAAATGTATCAATTAAATGCAATTGAGTTTGAATGTATAATCAAAAATATTATTTAGTGCTCGCTATGGCTACATGCCGAAAGTCAGCTCGGAACACCCGGTGTCTTTATCTTATGTATTGTCTGTCATATGTGTATCTGAGACGGGCTTTCACTTAATTAAGATCAGGAGCTGTGACGCCCCTGGCAGGAAGTGACAGTGTTCAGACTTTTTATTCTTTAATCAACGTGTTGGGATTCCTAATTAACTTCGCTGATAAATGTACATGTTGGCATTGTTATACATGCACGTATACACAGAATACAGAGTAATACTGCGGTGTACTTCTGGTTGTCCGTCCATGGGCGGGGCGGTAACCTAACATTGATATGAATCACCGCTCAGTATCATTCGATTATTCACACAATGCTTTCGTGTAGCTGTAGCACTGCCAAATCGAGAGTGTAAAAAAACACCTTAAGAATTTTTTGGACACCAACATGACGTAAATTTTGACCTTGATGAATCATATAAATCTAAGTGATAAAATATACACCAATTGTTATCTCGTAAAACTCATCTTTATATTCAGGTTAGAAATACACATTTTTCATATGAAAGCATACAGAGCAAACGGTTGAACCTCTTTGATTTGACATTGAAATACTTCCCTAGAATAGCTATAGAATATAACATTGATGTCAATCACCGGATGTTTTCTGGGAGTGACTCGCCTGCCTTCATATAGGTGTTATACTGAACCAAAAACACTTAACACCACTGGGACACCTACAGGACGTAAACTTGAGCTGGATGAATTATGTAAATATTGATAAGAAACTAACATTTGTGAATTTCAGAAAAGATCAAGTTTTTATACTGGTTAAATACATATTTTACAATTGAAAGCATACAGAGTCAACGGTTGGTCCTTTTCGATCTGACATTGAAATAGCCATAGACTTACATGTCGAGGATTCTGAGCAGATACAATCATGTGATGTGTTTAAATGATTAAGCTGGTTGCAAGTTTGCATGCCAGAACGTAGTTCTGCAAAGATTTTCAGTTACTAACATCGAACGAAAGAACTCCCTCATCTGATGCACGGATAATGACACTCGTTTTGTGAACATCACGACAATACGAACGCATTAGGAGACATGTCATAAAGATATGACAAAAAATGTGACGATCACCCCAAAACCTCCGTTAATGAAAATGTATACAGGAACATGTTCGACCAATTAAATTATACTATGATGTAACACAACCTTGTAATCAGCATTGTCAATTGTTCCAGATATGGGGAATGTAAGGATACAACAATACCATCAGTGTTGTAACACCAAAGCGAAGTATGCATCGAGATACAACGAGTGCAATCCTCATTCTGGAGGACCAGCCAATCAGAACTGTTTTGGAGTGAGCTTTTCCATGACCAACAAAGACGACGATACATTGGTGTATGATGTTGCCGGTTAGAGATGGTTTTCAAGTTACGTTTTGTTTGCTTAATATGTGTCTCCAATAATATAATGTTTTGACAAATGATCATAGCAATACATACTGAAATATGTTGGCATAAAATTAGAATATTACGATATATATCTGAAAACGTAACAGAGAACTAACCGAAAATAAACCGAAACTTCAGATACATATTATATTAGTTTTTACTCCTTGCATATTTAGCATAGAATCTCGACCCCGCCATCTTCTTTTCATATAGACTCTGTAGTAATCTTCAAACATCTGGTCGTTGAACCAGTTCTTCCAGTCACCAACGACTCCTAGGGTATGTGATTTAAACATCGTCATAGTCATAGAAGTTCTCGAAAGTACTCGTTTGTTATCAGGAAACACATTATAGTGTACTTCTCTTAAAGATTACTCTTTTATCAAACGTTGTGCTTAAATACTTGTGAATGATTAATTTTTGTAATTGATGTTTTACGTCATTTATTGTGATGCTCCTTAAATGCTGGTTTCATTTGATAGGTCAGCTTTCATTAAATTATTTTTTCTGTACAGAAAGTGTTCTCCGTCCACTTTTATTGCAAAGGGTTCCTTGTCGATTTTCATTCTGGAAAAGCTATGTTTACACTTTCACTTTGTTATCACAAATATCATCGAATATCACCTTTTTCGTTTTGTTAACCGGAGGGGGTGAAAAATGAACTGGGAAGGTATTATTTTATAGGGGCATCTCCACATTACTACTTAATACGGTAAAAAGCATGTAAATAACCGCGCCTCAAAGGTCATTCACCATTAACCAGCAAAGTGAAAAGGCACTCTTCAACGTATGTGTGTTATCGGGCAGCTGAACAAAACCTTTTTCAGTAACATTGTAATGAGAACCATGCTTTATCTTAAATGTACTCACAGTCCATGTGCCCTCTTCTCCCTTCGCGTGTTTACACTGTGATACACGATTTATCCACTCAGTCCTGTCACCATCGTGGCTACTGTATAATGATATGGTGAAAGGTTGCAGTTGTAAGGCGTTACCGTCTTTCTTCTGATATAGGAGGCTTCCCAAATATAACATTAATACACAACTACCTTGAAATTCATTCACTTTGAATGCCTTGAGAACGCCTGTCTTTAAGAAAGTGGTCAAATGTAACATCTAGTATCACACTATCAATATAGTACGAGTTCTAGTACCTTTCTGTGTCGAGTTGAACTATTAAAACGTTAAAGCACTCGGACGCAAGCGTCCTCGTGCTTTAACTATAATAGTTCAGGGCAAAAGTGTGTTTTATTACACTATACATGGTGGTAGAGCGAAGTGTATTTCTTAAATACATAGTCCCCCGTTCCGCGTTGCGGCGGGGGACAATAAATCGTATTTAGGCGGACTTGTATTGTACCTCGGGTTTGTGTGAATAATGTTAAGTTTTCTTGTACCAGACCAAAAGAATGATGGGGCTGCATTTATTTTACTTTGAATTTTTAATGTAAAACCTGCTAAAGAATCTATGTTTCTTATTTCTATGGGAACATTGTCCCACATTCCTATAGTAGATGGAATAAATAATGATAAGGAAAGTTTCAATATCGTAAATAGAAGGGAGAAGTTTAAAGAGTTCCGAAGGTTATAATATGATTTTTGGCCAACAGATAAAGGTAGTAATATTGTGAAGAATTTTATAAAATAAGGAAAGTTTTCTTTTTCTTTTACGTTCACTTAGGGTTTCCCAACCAGTTTTAAAATACAAATGATCACGAGAAGTATATTTTGGGAGTCATTATACGAGCTGCTTCTAACTGTAACTGTTCTAAGGATTTAGATTGATCACCTGTGCACCCATCTCATAATTCACACCCATATTCAAAATGAGGACGAATAAAAACAGTGTAGATCTTATTTAGCGTTGTTCTTTTTAACAAAAACTTTAACTTTCTCATGGAATTTATCATTTTGGATGTTTTCTTTAAAATATCATGTATGTGGTGGGACCAGCCTCCATTTGAAGAGAAGTTACACCAATATGTTTATGAAAAGGTACAGCTTTAATGTTACAATATAGATTGTCTAGCTTGTCACTATCTCTGGTTGAGAACAATACAGCCTCTGTCTTATCTGGGTTGTATTTGAGTAGAAGATAAGTACGATTTTGTCGTAGCGTCATGCAGTGAACTTTGTAACAGTATGTGAATTTTGTGACTGTGAAGTTTGTCGTTCAATCAGCGAGCGTTAACTGCAATGGCGGAACTGTCTTAACAGACTGAAACTACTCTCCTTTGAAGGGGATGTTGCTGAACACACGCTACAGCTTGAGCAGGAATTTGACATTTTCGTTGCAATTATCCTATAGTGACAAGGATGATAAGACTCAAGTTTACATTTACTTGAACACTGCGGGAATGGAGGCGATTGAAAGGGAAAAGTTATTATTTTAGTACGCAGGACTGGAAACACGTGGGAAATTGGCTTATTAATTAATTGGTTTTGTAAACTGTGCATTCCCCAAACAAACATTACATTTGAGAGATTTAAAATCTTTTCAAGGAATCAAGAAAAGGGTGAACCATTTCAAACATCCTATTCAGATCTCTTCAACAATGCCAATTCATGCATTTTGGAAATTTGAAAGATGAAATGATAAGAGACAGGATAGTGAGTGGTGACGGTTTGAGAAAAAACATTACTCAAAGAAAGTTATCTCAATCTATAAAGAGCTATATCCACATGTACAGTAGAAAAAATTCTGGCAAGGGTATGCAGGAACTGTGTTAACCTACAGAGGAACATGCCATACGTAACTCTAGAACTTTTCCTAAGTGTAGAAACTGTTGTTATGAATATCCTATTGGACGTTTGCCCTGTCAACGGTAAGAAATTTAACAAGTGTGGAACAATGAATCACTTTGCCAGTGCCACACCTAATGCAAGACAAGACAAATAAACCCATCATATACACAAGAACAGACAGGGGAGACAAGCCAAAAGTACACCTAGAAGCACAGTGCATGACATTGATGAACAGTTAGATGCTGATGATGATAATAACTTTATCTTCATTGATTGCAACAGAAGTTGATGACATAGAAGATTCACTGCCGAAAAGACAAGTGTCATTACCAACAATGGGCAATTGCTACTGAAGGTCGACACAAGAACTGAGTGCAACGTTCTTCAATTGGCCATATACACGACAATCAGAAGGAAACAAAAGATTAATAAACAGCACATTGTATGATTAGGTAACTATGGGGGTATCTCACTTTGAACACTGAGTGCAACAGTGATGCAGGAGGGTCAGCCGATAGCATATACATCCAAGTCGATGACGAAGTCCCAGATGAATTATGCCAAGATCGAAAAGAAAGTGCTAGTCAATCTCTTTGCCTGTGAAAAATTTCATGACTACATATATGGAGGAACAGTGATAGTGGACGAAGTCCATCTGAGAGTCACACAAAACGCTGCGATCTTACATTGTGGAATAAGACGGGTTTACATATCGTCAAAACAGAAGACATCTACTTCTCGTCCACAACGAAAGTACAAGACAACAAGACAGCACACCACGAAAACCAGGTCTACAACACGACAGACAAGACAGAACTCTTTCCACACCGTCCAAACTACACACAAAGTCAGCATCAGTACCTTCACCCAGAAAAGACAGAAAACACAGGGCACCAAAGATCAATCAACGCTAAAATCACCCATGACGCAAGCTGACACGAGATCCACAGTCAGTGACATCAACACCTACACGAAGCTTGCAAGTGAAAACGAGGAGTGGGAGAATAGTGCATCCAAACCTCAAATATGCATTCAAAACTGACAGTGTTTCTAAGCAGAGACAGTGTTCTTCAGCAGAGACTGTGTTATTCAGCAGGGACAATGTTCCGATTTTAAAGCTTTCAAGTTTATTTATAGTTGAACTCTTGAAGTCATACTTAAGTGAGTGCTCAGTACTTTACTTATGGAATCTAACCACTAGTGAATGATGTGACATGGAAATTGCGAAGGACACTAACGAACGGATTACATCTCATCCTATCTATCTTCATAAACATAGTAACAATCACAAAGAGACGCTAAACAAAGTTACTCTCATATACAGAGAGACTTAGTAAAAAGGGGAGGATGTAGAGGAATCCACATTCCGACTTTAAGTCACGCTCTTATTAGCAACCGAGCCTCGCTCTCGTACCAAACATGGCTGCGATCAGAGTGTGCCACGTGTACACCACGAAGTACACAAACGATTCAAACTTACAACCACTGTTGGTTTAAATATTATTTAACAAAATTGACACTCATCAAAGTTCTCCGCTGCCACAATGGTTGTCATTTGGCATTTCTGGCGTAATCATATAACTAAAATTGGTCTATAAATAAAGGTCAAATGGGAGGAATGCGTTAAATGGTATGCAATACGCACACGGCAGTGCAGCAAGAGCAATTTGTGATAATTATGTTGTTGTTTTGTATAACATTCCAGAGAAACATAACCTTTAAGCAAGACATATTGAAACTAAAGGAACAAAGAGTAAAAGCTGTGTGTCATTTGCTATCCAAACCTCGATGGTTAAATTTGCTTTCAGAGTGTGTTTTCTGGCCTTCGAACAAGTGGGTGTTCAGTTTCACCTCAACTGCTGCGATTTTTGGTGTTTCACTTTTGTTTGTCTAATGGAAGTTGGTAGTTGTTTTAATATGACATTGAATGTACAGGCGGCGGCCATGTTTGCTTGACTAGCAGAAGTGACGTCACAAGTGATGATGTCATCAAAGCTCCTGCACAATCCTATATTAGTAGACTACTTACAGTACTTGCACATTTGCAGTCCTCTGCTGATATAACAGTACCACAAACATCCTCATGATATAGTCAGAATCATACAATCGGCTCTGTCTTGTCTCACGGATGTGGAAAGGGTTTTGTCGTTTCTATATTTGAGCAGCATGCACACAAGAGATATATGAACAGCAAAAAATTAAAAAGGGCAACATAATAGCGTTGTTGCAAATAAATCGCCTGACGCTTTGAAGGCAAGCGGTATGTTTGCGTGGTGGACATATGTTACATCTAAAACAGGAATCGTTGAACGAAATAGGGTTTGAAACGCCTTTAGACTTCATCCTAACAATTAACTGTAAAGTTATAGTCATCAAGTCAAACAAACCCCCTGTAAGAACTAATTCCAACATAAGCCCAAAACTTCAAGTGCTTGCTCACAAAATAAGCCACAAGTTTAAACACAATATCGTCACGCAGATTAAAACCCAACCTTGCGTGTGGGTTCGAATCCGGATGGGACTCAACCAAGTGTACTATAATCTTTGCTTAATTGAGTAAGTGTAACCTTTCTACAAATGTGAACGAATGTTTTCATACATTTGAAAAGGTTGCTATTAATTTACAATGGATTGTGAATCAGAGGACCTTGTTGTTGCAAAGTGTATATAGGGGAAAAGCTCAGGAAGTTTATTCTACCTTACAATTGATAGAAGTATATTATGAGACTGTTAAGGCTGCAGCTTTGAAGGTTTTATGAATTGGATCCTGGCGTTTAGAGGCGTCGGTATAGGTCTGCTAAGAAAAGGGATGCTAGTATTTTGGTTTAGTTTGCAAGGGAGATAATAAAACAGTTCTGAGTAATATGTGCTGTTCTTCTTAAGACGTCAGTGGAGATTCCTACCGTTTGAGGCAGTTTCTTTTGCTTGAAATGTTTGAGCATTGTCTCAGGAGACAACCGGACTTATCTTGATCAGCAGACATTTGATCTATTGCACCAGAAGGTAGTCCAACCCTTCAGGCAGGGGTTTATATGGTTATAAACCAGGAAAGGATAGTCTAGTCCCTCCTAGTTCAATCTCTCTCAAGCCACGGCATATCGTTTCTGAACATAGAAAGCTCGCTTTAAGAAACTTTGTTTTTTCAAATGTCAAACCACAGCAATGTTGTGGTTCGGCTAATGTGGAGCAAGCTTTTGTAGACCAATCAGCAAAGTCTCTTGTGAGTGAAGAGTATATACCTCTCCTCAATAC